AAAAAAATAGTGCCTTGTGGGGCAATGCTGCAACATTCAAGCTGTTGTTTCATTCCGGGTCTCGAGGTTGGAGGGGGTTACGAAATCCTTTCCCCTCTGGGCAAACTGTCGATTTGGCCAAAACGCCTTTCTCCAAACGAGCGATAAAATAAACGCTCTCTGGTCGTAACAAAACCATAGCACGAACTGGTTTCACGTAATAATAAAAATAATAATGATAATGAAAAGAAAGAAGGAAAACAACAACAAAAACCCACACTCTTTACAGGAAGAAGAAAAAAAACACATTTCGCCGTCGTGACCCGAGTTAGGTCAAAGAACACGCCATCGATTCATTGTTTTCGACCTTTTTTTCTTTGTACTTCTTGCGGAAGAGATTTTTTATTTTCTTCTGCGTTGCCAAACAAAACAAAAAAGCTTCGGCTATTATACCGGCATTTGTTGACCAATCTTTTCGTTTTCTCCTTTCTGCCTGTTTATCCATTACAAGCGAAGTTATTTTCCTGCAAGTCGAGAGTTTCTGGATGGATTTAAAAAGTGTATTCAGCACTTTATGATGAATTAATCGCGATTTGTTCTCTCTCCCTCTCTTTGCAGCAAAAAGTACATGCATTTATATACACTGAAGTGAGACCCCAAGATGCGGACATAATTGGTGCATCAAGGGTGTCCGTAAGTTGAAATGTCCCTAAGTTAAGTCTTGTTTTCCCATAGACTTACATTATATAATTTTTCATTGGTGTTTTATGGCAGAAATATTCATTGGAATTTCATGGAAAAAATTGTCTGCTAGTTTAAATTTATTCAAAGAATTATTTTTCAACTCAATAAGAACATTTTGAGCATTTAATACTGTACCTCTGTACACTAGATACAAATGTTGGCAACTGTAAATACGACATTCAAGTCACAAATGGAGAAGTAAGTCCCTCTATCCTGGAGGTAATTTTTTCAATTGGCTGAATGAATGGGAAAAATAAGATTCTTGAAAAGAACGTATGTAGAATCCCGACCTTTCTAGACAATGAATGTTAAGTCGAAATATTTTCATTAAAAAGAACTTTGAATAACAAAACTTAATCGACTTACTTACCCTTTTTACAGATAGAACTTTTCTTGCATATATCTTAGGGTTGGAAAGCTCTGTTTCTTACAAGTCAGCCTGATAAATTAAAAGTAATTTTTCTTGAAACTTATTGTTTTGAATTAGCTGAATGAATGGGAAAAATGTCTAAGAACTTTTCTTGCATATATCTTAGGGTTGGAAAGCTCTGTTTCTTACAAGTCAGCCTGATAAAAGGAATTTTTCCTGAAACTTATTAGCAATTTTCTCATGCAATGTCCACATGTCAAGTCAGGGTCCGCACGTTGGGCATTTTTTTTGCATTTTTATTGGTAAATAAATATCCTAAGTCAAATTGTCCGCATGTCGAGGTGTCCGCATGTGGGGGTCTCACTGTATATAATTTTTTTCTGATACGTCATGCGAAATCAAATGGGATTTGGAAGCAAATCAAATTGCGCTAAATTGCGCCATGAAGAAAATACAGTACATGAAGGTTGCAAGCGAGAAGATTTCACAACACGATTTATTTCTAATTTTGTACGAGTATGAACACATTCGACACACTTGCTTCCCTTGTGTATAATCGCCTATGCAAAAAAAAAATGTTTCCAACAAAAGCACAATTATTTTTGGTCGGTCAGTCGTGCTTTTCGCCAATATTTCCCAGAACAAGTTCTTTGGATTTATACTTCCGGTCTGTCTCCGAATTTTGATTTAAAA